TGAAAGAGACCAGTTTAGATCAGAAAAAGGGATAGACACACAAAGCCTCCCAAATAGTTCACTCCAGACTTCGACAGCCCCATCCTGGCTGTCCGGCTCATGGACTATTCAGCACCTTTGCCCTTGCTGTCTGTTGGCCTTCCCAACAAGGTAGATGGGGGTTCTCATTCAGCCAAATTTTTTTGCAGCTTCAGCTAAGACTGGCTAAAAGAAGGTGACTCTATAAATCTTCTATAATCTATAAAACTAAAACAGAATATTATATTACCATATATAGATTACAATGACACAAACTCCCTCTCCCCTCCTCACACAAGTGCAGAATGAAAAGTTGGTGGGGAATTAGACTTAAACTTTTACATTCACATTGGTCTCTCAATGCTCAGTTTATTTTTACAAATGCTACAGCTCAATCTAGAAAGTCAGATGATACCTGCAGGGTCACAGACACCAACAGCAACTGATGTACACCAACCAGCCCTTCCTGAGCAGTCTGGGATGAGAGGAACTGCTCAGGCCCAGTACCATGGAATGGTCTGGCTAATTTCAAAAAGCCACACTGCAGAGGACATGGGATTGACCATTCACTTTATTCCACACTGCCCAGTGGTTCCATCCCCATCCGAGTGTCCAAGCCATGGATGCAGAGCAGCACAGTGTGGGGAGGCAGGGTAATTAGGCAGGGCTGCTTGCAGACTGTGTCAGAAAGGGCAGGGATTGCGACATAATGTCCTGCCCTGATGCTGGAGGGGTGAAGGCCAAGGAATCATCCTCTCCCTAAGGTTTCATGGCTCCTTTACTTACTATTTTGCGTACATGGCTCAGTGCACTCCCCTCTTTGCCTTTACAGTTTTCCACTTGATATGGGGGTGTAATAACAACTTCTTCCATGACTACGATGTTTTTTTCTTGCCATTTACAGTCTTTAATGCTGGAAGGAGAAGACAGCAGGTGAAAGTTACTTCTTGCAGGGCATCCCACACCTCCTGCCCAATGAATAAATAACTACAGAAAGCTAACCCCAAGTTCCTAGCTCACCACTCAGCCAATAACTAGATGCCAGCATTCCACAGGGAGAAGTAGCCCAGAAATATTTCCTGGCTAGGAAAAGCAATGAAACTGATGCATGCCTATTCCAAGGAGGGCCCAGAAGAATTACTCTGAAGCATCAAGGACCTAGAAAACCATAGAAAACTTGGTAGCAGCCTCAGAAGCCCAAACCAATTTGAGTTACAAATAAAGAGCTAGGCTCAGGCCACCAGATTCAACTTAATTAAATACCAGCCTAGGGTATTTAAGGGGTTGGCAAACTTTTTCTATAAAGGGTCAGACAGCAAATATTTAGGCTTTGCAGGCCATACAATCTCTGTCACAACTACTGAACTCTCCGGCTATACCACAAAAGCAACAACAGATGATATGTAAACAAATGAGCCGATGTGGCCCGGGGCTACAGTTTCCCAATCTTTGGCGTAGGGGGAAATGGCACCTTTAAAAAGACAGGAGAACAAACTCCCCATCTTCTTGCAATCTGTACTCCCCCCCCCCAGTAGAAGCTGCTCCTTAAATTGGCCCCTCTCAATTATCAGACAGCTGGAGACTTGCCAGACTGGGAAAACCCATCCCAGTTCACACTTGGGGGAACTCAGGGCAGCTGACATTACTGAGAGTTCCTTCACATACCTGTAAATGTTCAAATACTCACACCATGGCCTCAAACAGCTCTGATGCCAGCTGCCATCTGTGCACCAGACCCAGGTGGTTAAATAGGGTAACAGAAGGCAGCAGGGGGGAGGGGGAGTGTCAAATGTTTCAGTTTTTCAGCAGCTAGGGAAGCTAGCGGAGAGTCAAATGACTTCTGCTGTGACAAAATGTCTTTTATGAGGTGGCAATAAGGTGGCCTTCTGCTCCCCCTAATTCCCTATGTTCACCCAGTGTACAATTGGGAAGAGTGAGATAGATATGACTTCCCCTTAATAACACTGCATCAGCTTTTACAGAAATGAACAACAAGATCAAAATAATAAAAGAGGCAGAAATCACTAGATCTAAATGATGGATACTAGGTCTGGAAGAGACCCTTAGGGATATGCAAAACTAAGTTCTACAGATGAAGACGCTGAAGGCAGGGCAGACAGCTTGTCCGTGATTACACCACTGTTCCATACAGAGAGGCAACAAGCACCACATCCCTGGAAGCTGAGGTATTGCCAACACACTACCGAGCTTCCCTGGTGCCTTTCAGGAACACAACTACCCGAGAGTCAGCCACCAGACAGCAAAGCTAGGCAGTACCACCCCCGGGGCAAGGAACCCCTATGCTCCCCGCAACTCACGTCTTGTGTATGGTCTGGAAGAGCTGCTGGCCCTCTAGGGAGACACCAGCGCTGATTGCATAGGCCTGGCTCAGCTTCTCCTCCTTCTCTGTCCGTGCTTTGCTGGCAAGCTAGGATGGGGGAAAGGAAAGAGACTCAGAAAAGCATTCAGCTTCATCCTTCCCAATAGTTAGGACTTAAGTTGAGGAAAAGATGCTGGAAAGGGCTGGTTTGGGTAGATTCAGTTTTCTCAGGTATCAAAAGTGAAACAAACAAAACCACACACAGTATACCTGAATAGTTTGCTACTATTCCTGGCAAACATCCCTTCCTTCCAATACTTACTGAATGCCTACCATGTGCCAGACGTTCACTGTACTAAACAAGAGATACAGCACTGAAGAGGGGCGGAGAGACAGACTATAAACAAAAACACAAACAGGTAACTTCAGACAGTGCTAGAAAGAAAACAGACCAGGGCAAGGTTACAGAGTATGACTAGGGGGCTACCTGGTGGAAAGTAATGGTCAGAGATAAAAGGTAATGCATACATTTCTATGAAAGGAGAGAATTAAGAATTATCAGCTACTGTCTTAGAGCCTCAGGGTGAGAAATTAATGTCTACCACACATTCAAAGACCAGCATGTGAGTTTCTACGGACTCTATCATTCTAGTACCATTATCTGTGCCTCACACGTTCGGCCAAGACTCAGAGGAAACCTAACCATAATACTGTCCACCTTCAACTTGGGCTGAAGCTACAATGCTCTTTAAAAAAAAAGAATGGTCTGTATTCTAACTCATGTCTCCCTCCTTAACCGCGCTCTAGTGGGACAACCATAAAAAGGTCAAAAATTCTAGTAAAATCTGATAGGCTACTCAAATCTAGTAAATCCTTCCCAGCAGGGCTGGGTACCCTGTCAATCCCTATTGCCCCTCTAATATACTTCTGGCCCCCGGCCCACACTACTGGTTGCAAGATAGAGACTCCAGAAGTACAAATTTGAGTGTAAGACAAAACAAATACACTAGACAAGACAGTTAAAACAAAAGGCAGACAATGCACCTAAAAGTCAGACAAATGATTTGGAGATTTTCAGATCCATGAACATGAGCATATACTTAGTATACTGCAGGATACTGATGACATACGCACAAACATACACATGAGAACACACAATCTGTCCCGAATCACCAGCTCCTTAAATACAAAGAGAGATCATACCTCCAGCACATTACCAAAGTACCTAGATGCTTGGAATTCTAAAACATTTGTATTGTTTTAACAGTGACCATTCAAACCATAAACCAAACACAGTTCTACAGAGGGAAAAGGAAACTCAGTGTCTAATTGCTGGTAAAATGAAGCACTTTATTAAGCTTAGGTCCGACTGTGAAAAGAGAAAAGGAGGCCTTCAATCTGGTGATGGGGACCTGGTGAGTCTCAGCTGCCTCTGAGTTTCAAAACCTGTCTGAGGGAGGATGGAGTGTGAGCACAGAAGAGCTGGCTCATACACGCTGTCACTTCAGTCTCCCTAGGTAAAGGTGGGAAGAAAGACCAGAACTCTGCAGTGATGTTAAGCCAGAGCTTCCTTTTCACTTGGTCCCCAGGACATGGAGAGAGACGGATACAGAAGCAGTAAGTAATCCTTCAGGCCAGGGCCTGCCATTCTGGCCCCACCAGGCTACAACCTTACAGAGAAGGAAATGCACAGGGCTGACAGCATTCCCTGAGCATTGGCAATCCCTACTGCAGCAAGAATATCCTTGTCACCTACACAGTAGGGTTAAAAACATAACATCACTCATTCAGGAAGACAGGAGTTAGTTCCGGAAAACCAGCCATCTATCTACGCAGAATATTTAAGAATGAAACTGACAAACTGAGTTAGAAGAGGGGAAAAAAAGGCTGGGAGTGGAACCACTTTTGAATTTTTGCCAGAGGCAGAATAAAATGGATATAAGTCTTAGCCAAAAGTGATTAGTTTGGATAGCCTGAGTGACAGCAACACCATAGTTACAGAACAATGATTTCAAAATACGCCCCTAACCGCTCCCCGCCAAAACACCTCTTGTACAATCTCTTCTGAAGACTCTGAAAGCAAAGAAGAATGGACTAGATGATTCTCCATTTCAACCCATAGTCCAGATAGATCTCAAATGCTAAATGATACAAGGGAGGATCTTGGAAAAGTCAGCGGAAATTGGTGTAAGCTGATTGTATTTCAATTTGCCCCAATATCCTCGACTACTCTACCTGTACCTGCAACCATGCTTTGAGAATTTGGATTCACCGCAAACTCTGAAGCTTCCAGCAGTCAGTTTACAGACTGTATTTCATGGCAATCCAAAAAATACTTAAACCTAACATTCAGCTACAGAGATCTGCTTTCACTAAAAAGTTGTATAAATGGGGTAAGTTTCTCCCACAGAGGACTGTATCAAATAGGCATGAGGAAGATTACCTTCACAAAAAGAATCTAGAAATGTTTTTTCTCAAAATGTGGATGAGGGAAAGGGAGATTACCTTGCTCTTTTTAGGTATGTTCCTTAAAACTCATGAAAAACATGAATAAGCTCTTTTGTAAAGCAACTAACTCTCACTCTACCCTCAAGCTAGCTGTAGCTCTACATTTCCCCACATCATATTTTTGTAAATTAATGCATATCTATAAATGGTCTAGTTAGTCCAAGTTAATAAGTTTATGGTGACTGTCAAACTGCCAGAGAGAATCAATAAAAAAAATGCCCCCAATATAGAAGGTACAAAGTATGCCTTTTAATCTAGGGAGGGTCATCAGGATTGCAATTTTTAAATTCAATAAATACCACCATACTACATTCATTTTCAATGCAAGTGTGCCAGCTGCTGGCCTCTCTTCCAATCAAAACTGAAGCACTAACTGGTTAGAATCTTAAAGAATGTTAAAGGCACCAGTTTTAAGAACACACTGGGTTCAGGCAAACTGAGAAGCACAAACCTACAAATACATGTTACTAATGTGCATGTGGCCTACTTGAAATAACTGCACAAGACAACCTGCGTTTATCTGCCTCTCCTTTTATTTTGTGATTCCTAGTCAAAAGTTATTCCTTGTCTACTAACCAGTGCTTCCTCCTGTGGCCATTTTATATATAGCACCTTGATGTGGGCAACAGAGAGAAGTGCATGAACTTGATACCAAAGCCCATCAATATTAAAAGGCTTCTGGTCATGCCTGCTGCTGGGTAACCCCTGAGTGAGTAAATTAATGAACAACAACACACATCTCTTCCTGCACTCAGTGACAGGGGGAAGAGGAAGCAGCCACAACATCATAATCCAAGCAACTTGTTATAACTTTATCTTGTAATTTAGTCACCAGCTGGGCCAACCTATTCTCACATACCCAGACCAGGAAGGCACAGGTGCTGTAGTGAATCCAGAGGGATTCCTACTGTAAGTATTTAACAGGCTGTGACAGCTGATCCAACAAGAGAAGCAGAGTCCAGAGAGGAACCTGCTGGGTGTGACCTACTGACTCCACTGAGCCACTCTTGGTTCATCTTCTCTGTGTATGGAGGCCTTCCAACCAGCTGCCCTCACAGAGGGGTTAGGAAGCACTGCTGCTGCTGCCCCAGGACTGTCCAGGCTACCTGCAAGGCCTGACGGAGGCTGAGGGGCAGCAGACCAGAGCAGCCAAGAACAACCGTCGTCCTGAGAGCCCAAGTTTGCTCCTGCTGTTTCAATTCTGGGGCATACTCCTGAAAAGCCCTCCTTCTTAGTTAGCAACAAGCAGGCTCAAAAAAATTTCTTCCAACTATCAATATCCCCAAGTCTTCCTGCAACCTTGCTGAAAGTTTCTGTCCGAAAGTTTCTAATAAAATATTGTTCTTTACAACCTCGGATAGCTGGGAACTCAAAAAATAGAGAAACTTGCTTGAAGTCATGTCCTAGAACACATAAAGATGAACCAAAACACGGAATCAAAGAGGTAATGGTACTGAACATTAAAACCTTAAGAGCTAACTTGCTGAGTGAGAACTTACTCCATGCTAGGCACCAAGCTACACATTTCACATGTATTAAACATTTAATCTGCACAACAATTCTGTGAAATAGGGACTAAAATTACTCCTACTTAATCGATGGAGAAACTAAGGCACAGCTGTTAAGAAGTTTGCCCAAGTTTACCAAGTCACAAGTGGGAGTCTGGATTTGAACCCAGACAGTCTGACTCCAGAGCTTGCGTTCTGAACTCTGCACTATATTCAAATAGTTTCACCTAAGAGAAGTAAGTCTAAATTATTGTTGAAAATATATATTTGAATGCAAAAGAAAATGTTTGCTTAAAAGGAAAATATTTTAAGACTCAGCTGCCATCTTCTATTTTTATCAGTGAATTCTGGCATTTCCATCTATGTCCCCTGTACAGAACACAGTTGTCTGCCTTTTAGCGAAGGGCCTCTTCTAAAGAGGGCACCGGTCTCACCCTAAATCTCAAGGACATCCTTTATTTCTTTTGTTAAAAGTAATTCACAGGAATGCTTTTAAGAAAACAGATTCTACGTGAGAAAATATTTCAGTTTCAAAAGGACACCAAAAGCATGATTCATTTAAAAAAAAAAATTTCAGGCCAATGACAGGTAGTCTCTGGACCCATCATTTTCAAGACTAGAGAAGCTAAGTCAAGCAAGTCTCCTGCACTTGAAAGTTTAAGATATGCTAAGTGATTTCAGCTATGATGAAAAACACCCTGGAAATCCATGAGTCTTAGTGCCTCCTTGGTCCCTGGCTTTGACCATCATATTGCTGTCATATGTATGGCACAGCCAGCCTCAAGTGAGTCAGTACACTCCATAAGCAAGGTCTTATCTTTCACCTGGCTTAAAACACTAGTCATCAGCAAGTCAATAGTTGTTTTTCTTTAGTTATTTGTAATTATGTCACCAAGCACTATTCATAGTGACAACAGACAACCAAATGTGGACACAGAGTAATTTCCTAGTCCTGAGACCCTGACACCAGCACTGCTGTGGAACCTTCACAGGGCTCTGCCAAAGAAAGAACTGGCTGGTACATAAGCTGAAATTTCACCTCAACAACCTATCTGTGAGAGTGTGTTCTCAAATTAGCCATCTCACACGTGG